GGGTTAATGGGTTAATGTTGGACTTGTGGGCTTGGGCAGCATTGGGTTGGGATGTTTTCGTGATGCACATTTTCTTTACATAAAACTCTCTTACACATGAGTTGCTGTGGACTTGTTTCTCCAAAGTACCCAGACTAATACAACTGGTTTAATTTTATTCTTTGTCCTAAAATTTTTAATCAAGTAGTTGTGATAGAATTTGGAAATTTCCATTCCAATTATTTTCTTAATTATAGAAACCAGTAGAACTATATAGGATTTAATTCCCTTAGAAGGGCAATCATTGACAGTTAAATATCTTGTAATAAATGCTATATTCCTGAGAAAAATCAAACCCCTAATCTCATTTCACTTGAAAATAATTTTAAAAATCCATTATGCCTGCAGCTACTTAAGGACACCTCGTTTGTTTGTTTTTCCTGAACTCTGTGAAAGATACCTATTTTCAGAATTATTTCAAGTCACATGCAAGAATCTCATTGCATCCAAGTATTTTGTGTGTATCTTCTGATGGGCAGGGACAAGCAGATGATGATGAGAGAAAGGAGATAAACTCGGGGGGAGATACTAATGAAATGATTTTATAGAAGAGTATAAATGTCATTATTGTAGGACAAAATAAAATCTTGAGCCATTTTGAGTGTTTTGCTTGATTTTACTCTAGAGATGATAAGAAGTGCTGGTGGTCCAATGGTTAAATGCTCAACTGCTAATCAAATGGTTGACCACGGGAACTTGCCCGCAGCTCCCTGGGGGAGAGACATAATGACCTGCCTACGTGGAGGCTGTCGTGTGTAGGAGGCCCTGGGGACAGTTCCCCTCCATCACATGCGTTCACTGTGAGTACAAATCCAGTCTACCACACCTAACAATAGCAGCCTGCACACGGCATGTCCACTGTGAGCAAATGCAAAGATGGCTGATCAAATAAGCATTTAATTCTACCAGTGTAAATACAGCTGAATATTTGCCTTAGCTTTTAGTAGGGAAAACTGATTTATATTAGCTTATTCAACCAGGTGTTTTTTAAATACTCCCTCTGTCAATTCACAGGAGATTAAGCCTTCCTGGCAGAAGGAAAGGTTGGTGACTGGAAGCCATGCAGAGGAGCCTCTGAAAATAGGACAAGCTGTTTCCAAAGGGTCACGGCCCTGCAAACAGTCTGCACTTATGGGGTTGCTGCGAGTTGGATTTGACTTCATTGACAACTAACATCATCGTCAACCCACAACTTTAAATATATACATATATATACACATTTAGAGAATATTTCTGTCAGAAAAATGGAAGTCTCAAATTAAACATTGTATATATAAGCATAAAATATATAAACAACTATATATATACACATGTGTTTGGATAAACTAGAGAAATAAATTCATAAGACACTCACA